CCGTTGACTTCGGTTTTTCTAGATCTTACACGTTCGGTAGGACTCCTTAGGCGAGTGATCAGCTCGTCGCAAGGCCTCTACCTGTAGACAAACACAGAAAAACGCACACAAACATCAATGCCCTGAGTGGGGTTCGAACCCACGATCCCGGTTTCCAAGCGAGCGAAGACAGTATATGCCTTAGACAGCTCAGCTACCGTGACCGGCAGTGTATAAGAATAATATATAAGAATTCAGTTCGTACCTCACAGGAAACAGATCCGAACCCACGATCCCGGTTTCCGAGCGAGCGAAGACAGTGCATGCCTTAGACCGCTCGGCTACGGTGATCGGCAGTGTATAAGAATAATATATAAGAATTCAGTTCGTACCTCACAGGAAACAAATCCGAACCCACGGTCCCGGCTTCCGAGCGAGCGAAGACAGTGCATGCCTTAGACAGCTCACCTACCGTGACCGGCAGTGGATACGGTCCCGGCTTCCGAGCGAGCGAAGACAGTGCATGCCTTAGACCGCTCGGCTACCGTGACCGCCTATCCTTAATATATACGTCTCTAAAAACTTTACTTCACATCAAGAAAGACCATCGAGACGCAATCGTCGGGGAAGAACTAACCTAAATCCATGGGACAAACGGAAGTGACTACATCTACCATAACATTAACCTGCATATTTCGTTTTTACATCTTACGGTTTATTAGAATATACGCACAAAAGAAAAAGGTAAAGTTGTCCTTGTAACAGGCAGTGGAGGCCTATAAGTATGTAAGACGTTGATGTTCCCACATTTTCTATACAACCGGCTCACAGATGGCGGTGAAGATTTCAGCCTTATGCGCCGGCCGCCCTTTATCCCCAGGAGGATTCTTCNATAATAATAATAATAATAATAATAATAATAAAACTAAAGAATTCAAATGGTCTGCCTACAGTTTTGGAGTACGAAAAGGGGGAAGAGTGAAAATGGCAAAATCACCTGTCACCAGTTATGTGGACCTCTGTTCTGTGGCGGTAACTGTGAGTCATTACCAAATGATACAACTTTCCACACTGCTCACACAGAAATGTGGATATGAGGGTACACGGATACAAGCCACTAATCCGTCCGCTCGGCACTCGGCTCTTTCTTGATCCAATAATCAATATCAGCGCACCAACATCAAATCCTATAATCACATAAGTGCTCTAACCAGTTTCTGTATTTGGACAAATTCGTATTTCCATATTCCATATTTGTGGAGGCAATATTTATATAACTTCATTATACTGCAACCAGTATGGGAACGGGGTGCGTCATCACCAGTGACGTCGGCCGTTACGTCATCACCAGGAAGTTACTAGATTACAACGCACTGAATGGTATATCCCATCTGCTATGGGAACGAGGGTGCGCCATCGTCGGTTAGAGATGTAGCCGTTATGTCATCATAAGGAATTTAGTAATCACATTTTCAAAATACAATAGGAACCAACAGTCGACCTATCATAGACTGCGTGGAGTCCAAAACAATCTACTTCCGTAAGTTTTCTTACGTAACGAATGATGTATTTTTGATCGTAAAATAGATGGAGCTCATGAATTCTCTGAAGCACGAATTTCTTCTGATTAATATTTCAGCATCCAGTTCCTACCTCACAGGAAACATGCTGTATCTATATAGACTAGCCGGTTAATGCCGTTTGGAAGAAAGATCCATGTCGTTATACGTACAAAACTGCACTAACATGGGTAACATCGACATAAAATATTTAAAATCCAGTTCTCTACATTTAAATCCAAAATCATCCCAGTACATACAGGGGTGAATAGGAGTATTACAATCACAAGATAATTAGTAAACAAAGCTTCAAAAACTGAAGATAGAAATAAGAACATCACGCAGCGCATCGGCACACGGTCCTATAACATCCACGTCACTAAGACATCACCAAAAAACTGCGTTTAATTGTATCTACTTTAAAATGATTTAGATTAGGAATTAATATAAACATTTAACACGATTAGGTTAACCTACATCTTAATTTTACACCAGTTTAGGACGTATTATATTAATAAATTAAAATAATAATTTAAAGACTATTTATTAGACTCTAGTATATAAGTTTTAAACCTTTATTTTGATTTAATTTACTTACACATTGTTGATATACGTTCAGGTGTTTTCGCTAATAATCACAACTATAAGAAATGCATAACATGAATCCACATAATTTTTTTTCCCTTGGCACTACAGCCCCAGTGGGCCTAGGACTACCTCCATGAACTTCTCCGTTCACTTCGGTTTTTCTAGACCTTACACATTCGGTAGGACTCCATGGGCGCGTGATCAGCTCGTCGCAAGGCCTCTGCTTGTACACAAACACAGAAAAACGCACACACATAAACTAAACATCCATACCCTAAGTGGGATATGAACCCACGATCCCGGTTTCCAAGCGAGCGAAGACAGTACATGCCTTAGACCGCTCGGCTACCGTGACCGGCAATGAGTGTATATACTTGTTATAATATTAAACTTTCAGATTAGGACAGTGCGTTCTAGTGTTCCAACAGTGGATTAGCTCTCGTTGGTATAATTTCAGTGCGTGGTGAGATACTGTTTAGGGGAACAACTGAAGGGAGTATGAAAGTAACCAGATATCCACTTTGTTTCGACAACCTTATACATCAGAAGCACAAGGAATTAATAATGTTCTGTTATTGTGCTTTTTAACTTTATAAACCTAGAGTCTTGCTCTGTATTTCGCTATAAAAGTATTCCGTTATGTGCCAAGGAAAATAAATTACCCTGATTCAGGTATTTATTATTGGATTTATGACGCCAGAAATGTAATCATAACACAGAACATTAGCAAATTTCCTTTGTTTCCAATGAGATGTTTTATGCGATAGAGTGAAGTTGAATATGCATACCCAACGGGAAATAATACTGATCTTATGAGAAGCGTAGCGGAAGTGAGATTTCCGAATTTAATTGTGTGATTTCTTTTTCCCACCATGACAATTGCAGTGAAAATATATTTCACTAAAACGGTGGCTTTAAATAAATATTCTTTTATTAAGTCCTGTGTTCTCGGATATAGTGCCGCGCTGACCCGCTTAAAGTCGACCGACGTTTCAGAGGTACATCTCGCATCCATCTTCAAGGCAGAAGAAAGCAGGTGGCAAACCGATCTTTTTGATACCTGATTTATTTTGTAAGGTATGATTTTTGGTAGAGGCAAAGGGAAAGAGCCCATTAAGAAGACTTAGACGTAGGTGGGAACATATTATTAAAATTAATTTTGGAAATATAGGATGAGGTGGTATAAAATACGAGTAGGTAAAACTGTCCCTGTAACCGGCAGTGAAGGCCCATAGGGTTGTGAGACGTTGAGGCTCCCACATTATCTAGACAATCGGCTCAAAGATGGCGGTAAGGTTGTCAGCCTTACGCGCCGGCCGCGCTTTACTCCCCAGGAAAATTATTTAATTAATTCCTGGTACTCATTTCTGTTAGAGGTTGAGTGAACCCCAGGGCCATAGTGCGGCTGGAAGGAATAGGTCCAATGACTCGAACCCGTGACCTTCCGACTTGTAGCATAGTGCCTCAACCAACTACGCTACCGCGTGCCCCCTCCCAGAAGACAGAACTCTTCATAACCACCACTGTTACAATCTCAAACCTTACATTATGCCTAGTTAACAGAATGGGCTAAATTAATATTCATTGACGTTATATCATCTGACGCGAATGACTGAGAACGCTATGCGAGGAAGTGATTTTGTAATACTACACTGGGTTGACGTAAGGAGCCGACATAGCACAGTTGGTATAACGGCTGGCTACGGGTTGGACGACCGAGGGGTCGGAGTTCGAGTCCCGGTAAGTTCAAGAATTCTCTCCTCTCCAAGTCGTCCACACCTTCTCTGGGATCCACCCAACCTCCTATTCAATGGGTACCTGGAGCATTTTCCTCGGGGGTAAAGCTACTGGAGCGTGATGCTGACATCTCACTTCCAACTAGTGCCGATGTCAAGAATACGTGGATCTATACATACACTCCCCTATACGCCTTCATGGCGTAGTGCTTAAATAGTTAAGGACAGGGAAAACTTTACCTTTTTTCATACGGGACGAATGGTGTGGACATGTAGAGAGGGCTCGCAGGGACCACGGCCCTAACCGAATCCATATAGTTGAGGAGAAAAAAGTAAATAAGGTCGGGCCCTTAATGGGAGGATTTTCAAGAGCAGGACGATTGGAAAATATAATAGAACTGAGTGAGCCAATGGGAAGGCTGTCAGAAGAAGAGGTTGGCCTCTAAAGTGCAGATTTCAAGTCCAGACTGAATGGAAGAAAATGCAGGACCTCAACAGAGAAGGAACAGTAAACAAGAAACGAGAAAGCGCAACTTACTTATGGAGCTGAGCCCTTCTGGAGGAGCCACCAATTGTGCAGCTACTCAAGAATTTCCCAGCATCTTATGGAACCCGAAGGTTGATTGCCATGTTCACAAGAGCCCTCCACTGGTCCCTATCCTGACACAGATCTATCCAATCCATACCATCCCATCCTATCTCTCTAAGATCCAGTTTAATATTGTCCACCCACCTACGTCTTGGTCTTCCCAGTGGTCTCCTTCCTTCTGGCTTTCTCACCAATATCCTATAATCATTTATCTCCCCCACTCGTGCTACAAGCCCTGCACACCCAATCCTCTTCATGAGGAGGCGCAAGGAGGGGGAAAAATGTACAAAATAAAAACAGAGATGTAAATGAAAAATTGGAGGATAATTACGTGACGTATAATGACCGTTTCAAGGCTGATTTTGAGGGAAGCGTGAATTGGACACAAGCCAAGAGACTAACCAGGATAATTCAACTCTCTGCCACATCACGCACATAGCGTCACATCGCAGAAGACGAAGATCCTCATAGGAACAAACTCAGTAACCTCAAATGTGACCCATACAGGTTTCTGATAATCTATTGACTATTTTGGGTGGTAATACTGACCTGGGAATAGCTGACGATCTGACACATTTCGGCTCCGAAGGGCCAGTACTGCAGCAGCAAAGTGGAAACAGAAGAAAATGGCACGCAGAAAAGTGCCATGAGAATGTCCCCCACAGCAAGGTTGACAATGTAGTAATTAGTGACGGTCCTCATATGGGGACAGGACTTCACTACGTGGCATACAAGGCTGTTGCCAGCCAACGCAAACAAGAAGATGAAACAGTACATTATGTACACTGCTGCTTGATAGTAAGGGGAGGTGTCAACACCGCCTGGTCCGTTGTTGCAGGTAAAGTTGAAAGTGAAGTTATCCTTATAACTGTCATTGAAGCTGGGGTCCATGGCGTTTCTGTTTTCACTACACCATTCGCTTGTATGTATAAATCGACTGTTTCACAGTATGGGCGTTCAGAACACTCTTCAAAATGACACGAAACGTATCAGAACATCTGATGAAACTGTTTGAACATGCAAATGTATACAACTCAACATTATATGTTTTCCACGAAAGCTGCTCAAAACCACATGAAAAGTTTCTGAACACATGACACAATAGTTCAAAGGCGAAAAACATATTACAATCAAGTTGCTACGCGTTCTGAACTTCTGTTTAGGATCACGAGAATTGGGTCATAACACGTGTCACAGTCTTTCATATACGCAAATTTATAAATATAAAATTGCTTCATTTTCCTGCGATCCCTGTAAAATCAGATGAAATGTATATAGACACTCGAGGCAGTTGTTCAAATACGCTACTGTTTTAAAGTTAACTAACTTTCAATTTCTCAAGATGTGCCAAGCATTTTTCATGTATACACGGTAAGATATTTCAAAGAGTAACCACTTACGTAAAATACATCAAACATAAATATTTCAACATCGGTTCTTTATGCTCTCGAATCACTTGTGGTTGACTTACAGACACAACTAACCACAATGAAGAAAAACCCTAATCCCCTGCCTTGTTAATTATTCCCGTAGACTTATATCAATGCATTAAAAGTTAATTAGATTTCACTGGAATTAACAATAGGTTCAGTTGAAAACCAAACATTTATCTTTGAAGATAAACAATGTTAAAATATTGAGGGCTGTCATAAAAACGACACCGTAATATTCTGTTAATTAAAATTGATTCTGATATGAGAATAAATGATCCCGGTGTGCTGACTGACAATGTTATCAGTTCCGCGAAATACTGGAAATTACTGAGTTTCTGACCACAAAATAAAACACTTCCTTCGCTTTAGTATTACAGCTCTGAAATGTTCTGCAGTCTTAACTACATACTCAGAAAGTTCTCTTATAATGAACACAAACGCAATTATGTCATTACATAATGTCACTTTCACAAATCTGGTAACATTTCATGTAAGAATGGAGACCATTGAAGTGTAAATTGAAGAATCATAACACAGCGTTTATTTATACCTAAGCACAAACATAGAGTTCACTGTCATATTTCAAGTGAGATGATAGCCAATGACACACTTACACATGATTACACCACAATAATTTCATATATTTTAAATAAATAAAGAACTATATCACGTGTACTTTTGAGTCCCAAACAAAAACACTCCTTTTATAAGTAAGTCCAACAATTCGTCGAAGTAAATTGTAGTGTGTTACGTTCATTGAACATTAATATAACGTTTGTAACAACAGTATTGTACATAAGCGCATACATTATACTGCAGTCCATGATGGATAATGATGTCCATTTCATTAAAAGCATTAGCCGGATTTCCAAATTTCAAAACAGATACTGAAATCACTGCCAATCCTATAATTAGTTCTAGTTCGTTCCATGGTTCTTGTGGAACTGTTTATAAGACCAAGAATTTCCACATTCTCACGTAGGATTTAATTAATAGTTCATATTTATTATTCGAAAATTTCGGAACACATTCACAGGCCACAAATTATCTGAACATTGACTCATAAAATGATCACACATCGCTAATCTGTGACGAGCTCAGAAATGCCATTGGCTACTACTTCATCATGTCGTTGCATTGACGTCGATCGGACAACCTTTCAATTGCAAACAAAACTCAGACACTTCTTAAACTGTAAACTCTGCAGCAGGCAGAGAATTAATTCACAAAATTACTTTATTTGGTATTTTTCTTAATTAAGTTAAACAAAATTTTCCAAGCTTTAGATACAATGTCTTCCAATGTGATCGAACCTGTAACCGAGATTTTAAATAAGGTGTTTTGGAAACTGATTCACCTAATACACAAAAATTAATTATTATTTTACGGAATAAATTTTCGGCCGAAACTGAAGATTTCTTCATGTGTGTAAAATCTTAATCAGTTTAAATTTGAAGGTATTTTTTATTTCTATTCAAAGTCTGGCGGATTAGTTCCGCGTACTTTTAATTTAATGAAAAATGAAAAATTTAAGAGGTCATAGTATTTGCTTCGCACGAAGTTCGGGCCAGTTGCAGGGTGACCGACACGCCGTTACTGGCGTCCATACCCACGACCAAGACGCGACTGGCGTCCCGACGAGAGGCAACCAGCTACATGCTACGCCGACGTGCGCGAGGGACGGCGCCGTGTAGCAAAATAGAGGATGTGCAGCCTCGTGGGAACGCGTCTCTCTTGTTCATAGTTCTTGGGTCGAACCTCCGGATCCGCGAAGCTCAAACCATGAAGTGAATAACCAGACTTCGTATCCCGGCACAGGGAGGACATTTCTCTTTACCATTCACACTTAATCTCGGGGTGGTGGAGTCTGCTTATCCTCCTGTGCAATGGCTACTGGCAAATTTTGTATGAGGACAGCGGCCGAAGGGTAATTATCGCCACAAACAAAAATTGATGGATTAACATCGTAAAAACCAATGTATTTATTATTCAACTAATAACATGTTTTGGCCAAGGTAGGCCATCATCGGGTGATATGTGAGGATTTTAGAAATGATTAAGGTATTCATATATAACTACAATATTTTTATAAATTTAAATTGTTTTAGTTAAGTAATTTCGGATGCGACCCAGTATTCTACATTCATAATATTTCAAGTTAGAATTAACATAATATATTAAAATTTAAAAATTAAAAATACAAGACTATAAGGCTAAATTCTGTATTACAAAGTCCGTCAGCAATGCAACAAATTGTTCTTTCTTACACTCACACTTTGGACCCTTGTTTCGGGCCCAATACACAGACAGCACGGTGATCTCATAAGCCTTTTATTTTATTTTTTTTTCAAAATTAGGGACGTAGGCTATCAAAATGAGATAGAGGAAGAAGAGGACAATAACAATGACGAGGAGATGACACAACGCCGTGTCAGCGAAGACAACAGCGAACAGACACATCGAGCCATAAAATGATCACAAATTCTCGGAACAGTACTACTTAACGTTATCAGGAATTTGAGGCTATGTTTGCTCAAAGATTACGTGAGACTCTGAAGCTTACATCATTTTACAAGCACGCTTTCTTCGTCCCATTATCGAAGTGCGTCTTAATTATTCTTCCACACGAAAAATTTCATTAGTCAAGAAATACACGTATGCACTAACATTTTAATAGTTTTATGTAACAATTTATGTACATGACAACCATTTTGCGATATCGAAGTAAGAATAAGTGTTATTGATTGTTGCACAATAGGCGGAACAATTGAAACACTGAAACTGGAACACCAATGCAACAGGATGCTTAAATATAATATTACCGGAGTATATGTCATAATACGCAGAGCGTTGAGGAGAATATTTAGACCGAAGAGGGATGAAGTGACAGGAGGCTGGAGAAAACTGCATAATGAGGAGCTTCATAACTTGTACTCCTCTCCAAGTATAATTAAAATGTTCAAGTCAAGGAGGATGAGGTGGGCAGGGCACGTAGCGCGAATGTGGGAGACGAGGAATGCATATAGGATATTGGTGGGAAAGCCAGAAGGAAAGAGACTACCGGGAAGACCCAGTCGTAGGTGGGTGGACAATATTAAAATGGATCTTAGAGAGATAGGATGGGATGGTTTGGATTGGATTGATCTGGCTGAGGATAGGGACCAGTGGAGGGTTCTTGTGAACACGGGTTCCATAACACGCTGGGAAATTGAGTAGCTGCAGAATTGGCGGCTCCTCAAGAAGGGCTCAGCTCCATGAGTAAGTAATTTTTTTTAATTCGTTTAGTGGGGGGTGGAGTCCAACTGGGTTCACTCGTCACGGCGGTCACTGATTGGCCTATTGTAGCCTGCCCGGGTGATTATGATGGAGAATTTGGTGGAATGAAGGTAAGCTGGGGAAACCGAAGTACTCTGAGAAAATCCACTCCAGCGCCACTTTTTCCATCACAAATCATATTTCACCAGACCCGGGATCGAACCCAGGTCACCAGTGTGGGAAGCCAGTGACTAACCGCTTGAGCTATGGCGCGGCCGAGTAATTAAGTAAGTAATATGTCATAATACAAACAATGAATTAAAGCTTACTAGAAGATACACTGCCGGTCACGGTAGCTGAGCGGTCTAAGGCACGCACTGTCTTCCCTCGCTCGGAAGCCGGGATCGTGGGTTCGGATCTGTTTCCTGTGAGGTACGATCTGAATTCTTATATATTATTCTTATACACTGCCGGTCACAGTAGCCGAGCGGTCTAAGGCATGTACTGTCTTCGCTCGCTCGGAAGCCGGGATCGTGGGTTCGGATCTGTTTCCTGTGAGGTACGATCTGAATTCTTATATATTATTCTTATTCACTGCCGGTCACAGTAGCCGAGCGGTCTAAGGCATGTACTGTCTTCGCTCGCTCGGAAGCCGGGATCGTGGGTTCGGATCTGTTTCCTGTGAGGTACGGACTGAATTCTTATATATTATTCTTATTCACTGCCGGTCACAGTAGCCGAGCGGTCTAAGGCATGCACTGTCTTCGCTCGCTTGGAAGCGGGGATCGTGGGTTCGAATCCCACTCAGGGCATGGATGTTTGTGTGCGTTTTTCTGTGTTTATGTACAGGTAGAGGCCTTGCGACGAGCTTATCACCCGCCCAAGGAGTCCCACTGAATGTGTAAGATCTAGAAAACCCGAAGTGAACGGAGAAGTTCATGGAGGTAGGCCTAGGCCCACAGGGGCTGTAGTGCCAAGAGGGGAAAAAAAAGAGGATACAATATTGTAAAAAAAAAATCATGTCTGAGCCTTAGGCTCCAGAAACGCAACCCCATGAAATCGACTTGAGATTTTGCAACTTAGGACCCGTTCTAGGGCACGGCTGTATAAGCTTTACATTGTACAGCGAAACAGTTATGTCAGACAATTCGTTCCTTGCCTCCTTCCTGCCACCATATCATACTGCCTCAGTATTTGAATGCTAACTTCTGGGAGCAGCGAATTGGGACAGGCTCCGTAGTTGCAGAGATATACATCAAGGTGTTATCCCATTAAGTCCCTGCACCGCCGTGTAACTTAATAAAGAAGAACAATATACGAGCTTTGTCTCAAGAGAGGTGCTTTGTGAGACTCGACGCCCTTACGAAGGTGACTGTGAACAATACCGCATGCGAGCTGAAGTCATTGTAGCCTGGTGCATGTTTACTGAAGTTTCAGAGGAACATGCTGCGTCCATTTTCAGGGTTTCTGTTCCTGTATTCGTACAAAATTTGTCAACGCTCACTTTAATATTCTGTCCTGAAAATAATGGCAGAATGTTCCTCCGAAACACTGGTAAATATGTCTACATGGAGTTACACCCTATATTGGCCTCGCCATAGCTCAAGCTGTTAGTCGCTGGCTTCCCACCGAGCTCTAGCCAGTCACAATACCGACTGAGCTATCCCGGCTTCTGAAATATAAAAAAATTAACCCAAAATAACGTCATAACTTTCTCCTACATACCCAGGAAACGTAATAAGCAATAGGTCTGCTGGCGTGTTTGTCCGTAACGGCTGGATACACAGAGCTGTACCAGTAAGCGATGTGTATAAATATCGCCCGGCTATGATGAAGACAACGCAAAGAATGAAAAGTAACTGAGCTATCTAGTGACATAAATTTGCTGCGAGGAGAAATGTAGCGAACAGAGCACAAAGAAAAGCCCAATTTACAGCAGATGAATGTGGGTTAAGATTAGTCTGGACGCTTCCTGCGGACCACACCATTAAGTACGCTCGTCACATTCGAAATTAAAAGGCGACAAGAAGTTCTGGGAAGAACTAATAGCCAAATTTCCGTTGACAAGACATATCACATAGAAAAAATGTGTCTAAAAGTTCTTCTATTCTCGCGTGTATACTTTGCCGTGGTAAATTTTCTACCTAGCCGTTGCTTAGTAACTATAAGAGGATAAACATACAGACATAGACTGATGAGAGGTCCTCATGAAGTAAGTCGTTGAGATGGGGGTCAGGTGCCGCGATACGATGCCAAGTTTCATATATATTGGTTCAGGCATTCAAACGTTGACAAAGTGGACACGCGGACACACAGAGAACATGGTGATCTCATAAGCCTACTTTCCTTATTCAAAGAAGAAAAGTGAGCTAAAAGGAATAAGAAACACTTCTTGGGTAATTCTTGTGACGGTGTAAGATTTATGCTGCCTGCAAGATTGTGTTTTAATATTTAACACCAACAAAACAACTTCGCTGTGTTTAGCATTTTTATTTCAAAATTCCCCACATGTTTATACCCCTTCTATAAATCCTCCTCAAGTGTCACAATGTCGAAACGTTAATTATTCTCTCTGTTCTAGCCAGCTTTCCCGATGCTGTGTCTCTGTGTCTGTGTTTCCCACCTTATCAACTTCTGAATGTTTGAACGAATCTTTATGAAACTTGGTATGTATATAATGGCACCTGAGCCTATATTTACGGCTACTTTTCAAATCCCTCCCATCAGTATGTGTCAATATGTACCATAGTTGCTAGGAAACGGTTCGGTAAAATCCCCACTTTCTTTGCTACGTAACAGCTCGGTAAATACTGTCACATGTAGGGAGGGTACGCGTGACGAAAATGACGGGTTCTAGTTCGGTTGATTGGATTTGTTGACACCTTATGCAGACAACTTGGAACTACAGGCAATTATAGTGCTATCGCTATCACCGCTCCCCCGCATTAGGATTTTCAGTCTTCATTAGTCGTATCCTAGCAACGGATTTATAAGTCACAAACATGACTTCAGATCAGACATGAAGTCTTTTTTGCACATCTTCACTCTTGCAAAATAACTCTTTTCTTCACAGCCTCCATTACAGAACTCCACTGGACTGACAACTGCCAGGCTGGTAGCCATTTCACACCAATCTCCTAGTCTTCTCTTCACAGACTGACTTTCAACTGACAACTGAACTCTGTCACTGACCAACCTGCCACTTCAGGTCACTTCACTCAACTGAATTGCTGACAACTGACTTCGGAACTCGAATGACCCTACTTATTTCAGCACGAACCACATAGAAAACACCGTCTCCATAGCTACAGTCAAACAATACCTTAATCGTTACATAGAA